TCACTGGAGGAAGTGTTATTATGAGTTATGGACTTGTATTTTAGTTAAAACGTCTTTAATGCTGGATTTGTTTCAGCTTTTGTCTTCTCCAGATGTTCACTGCAGAGGGTGATGGAGTGCTACATTTCTACAAATCTGATGAAGAAACAAACTCATCCTATGTTTGGATGGTCTTAGGGTGAGTAAATTTTAATTTTTGGCTGAACTATTCCTTTAAGTCAGATAAAATGTTTTTGAAAATGTCTATGACAGCTGACCAATAAAGACTGGTACTCTTCAGTGTGAGTGACTGAAGTTCAGCTTGATATGTGTGTTCATCCACACACACTCTCTCACACTCACACACATACTCACACTCACACAGACACACACACTCTCTCTCTCTCTCACACACACACACTCTCACTCACACACACACACTCTCACTCACACACACTCTTTCACACACACACACACACACACACACACACTCTCTCTCTCTCACACACACACACTCTCACACACACACACACACACTCTCTCTCTCTCACACACACACTCTCTCACACACACTCACACACACATTCATCTGTTCGCTGTGTTTCTCTCTTCATTTCAGCAGCAGCTCCAGGTCGAGGTGCAGCTTGTGTCGGAGGATCATCACAGCCAAATCTGCAGGTACATTACATTATAATTAATATAATAAATTATTATATATAAAATATCTTTACTTTAAAAATGAAAAATTGCATATTATAATCAATACGTGCATTTATGGACACACAATGTGCTAAAAAAGTAGCAATGATTATCAAGCAAAATAAGGGATTGAAGAAAATATTCTTCGTCAAAAACTGTAAACCTGTTTAGGACAGTACAGACTAAAACTTCTGTGCAACATGGACGAGAATGTGTACAAACTATATTAATCATCAATTTCATAAATTCTGCCAATATAATTTTTGCATGTGGATGTTGTGCATGTTCAATCAAACCGACACAGATATTGAAGTTTGGAGATGATCATAAACTAAAATCTGTCCATCAGTAGAGCTACACACTGTTCTTACAGGAGTGTCAGCAGCCACTTTCAAGCTCTGTCCTGTTTTAAAATAGAGCGCACACCTATAGAGATGAAGGCATTTCAAAGCTGCGATCTGATGCTTTTGTTGTGCAGCCCTTCGACATTTCAGTCAGAGATCATTTAACCCTTTCAACACACTGTTGCTATTCATATGTGCTTCCATTTGTGTCTGATGAGCAGTAAAATGTTTCATATGCGCTGGGTTAAGCAAAAAATAGTCAAATTAAACATTATGCTTGCAAATGAAAATATATGGAAGCCCATTTCCACCAGATAAGAAATAAATCTTGCTTTAGTAAATCATAATTATGACATAAAGAGTCGAAATTATTATATATTCAATTATGAGATAAAAAGAAAATTATTACATACCATGTCATAAATATGACATAAGAAATCAACTGTCAACTTTAAGTCATAATTTGTCATAATTAAGTCTTAACTGACTTAGTATGTCATTTTTTAATCTCAATTATGAGATAAAACTTGGAAATTATTACATACTAATCTCATAAGTTTGACTTTCTCACAATTATGACTTTTACTCATAATTATGACTGTCATAATTTTGACATTTTTATCAATGTCTTTATCTCATGAGATGAATTTCTCACAATTGACATTTTCATAATTTCATATTTTTGTCAATTATGACACGTCGTTTTTATTTTTTTAAACCTTTTAATAATTTTGACATTTCACTCAAATCATTTTCACTTTTTGTGTGATAATTATGACATTTTGTCACAAGCTTGACTTTTTAATTCTGATTTTTGACTTTTTATTCTAATATTTACTTTTTACTCTCATGATCTCAAATTAGAGATGTAAATTCGGAAAAAGGTCTGAATTGCGGCAAACTTCCAATTATCTCAATTTCAACTTTATAAATACCATAATTTTGACTATCTCATAATTCTGACATAGTATGTCATGATTTTGACTTTTTACTCTCATTTATGATTTATACACTCACTTATGTCAGTTATAACACTTTTGTCATAATTTTGACTTTTTAATATCAAATTGACTATCTCATAGTTCTGACTTAGTATGTCACAATTATTTCATACATTTGACTGTTCTCTAATAATTTAAACTTTTTCTCATATTTTTCACTTTTTATGTCAATTATGACTATCACTTTTTGACATTCTG